ATATATATATTTGTAGTACCAGGGATCAAACTCAGGACCTTGCAAGGCAAGCACATTGCCACTGAGCTAAAGCCCCAGCCCAAACACAGAATTTTTTAAATGGAGGAAACTGGATAGATTAAATATATTTTTGCATCCATAGCAATTTGATTTGTAATAGCCAAAATGTTGAAAGAATTCAAATGTGCATCAACAGGAAAATTTAAACAAATTATGGTAGAGACATTGCATGGAATACTGCTCAGTGATACAAGGAATGATCTATTAATAATCTATTAATACATGCAACAACAGAGATAAATCTCAAAATAATTAGGGTGAATGAAAGAAGTCCAAATAAGGGTCTGTAGTGTATGATTCTATTTCTATAAAATTCTAGAAAGTGTGAACTAAGCTATTGTGACAGACAGCATGCCAGTGGCTGCCTGGGGTGGGAATGTGGGGTGACAGGGAAGGGTGGGAGCCATATCCGGTCTCTTGTTCACCTATGAAAATTGTTATTGGTGACTTCTGCCTGGTGAAAATGTTTTATTTTTGCATTGTAAAGCTTATAAATCTTTTTGTTTCTGGTTCTTGAATTTTGTATCATACTTGAGGAGGATTTTCCATTCCTTTATTAAAGAATTCTGCCATGATATCTCATAGCCCATACATTAGTTGGTTTTCTGGTGCTATCATAAAATACTTGAGGAAGAATGCTTTATAAAGAAAAGATATATATTTAGTTCACAATCTTGGAGGCTGGAAGTCCAAGATCAGGCAGCTCCATCTATGTGGCCTCTGGAGAGGGCCTCCTCAGCTGCCTTCTAACATGGCAGACAGTATCCCTGTGGGATGTGTATGAAAGGGCAAGATCACAGAGTGAGATGGGAAGCCAGAGAGCAGAAAGTGGCTGTTCTTGCTCTTTTTCATTTTTTTGAGGATTCATTCTGAGGCCAGCATTAGCTCCCCCAAGAGTAATATCCCCAGTGACCCAATACTTCCTACTAAGCTGCACCTCTTACAGATGCCACCACCTTTTCCCTTTGCTACACTGAGACCAATCCTCCAGCACACCAGTCCTCCAGGACACACTCAAGTTATAATTCCATTATTTACACTGACATCTTGGATCCAATTGCAGATTTTCCTGGTGTAGAGTGGAAGGTGTTTGTTGTTTTAGTACCAGGGATTGAACCTGGGACCTTGCGCTTGCGCAGCAGGCACTGGAACCACTGAGCTAGAGTGGAAGGTGTCTATATAACTTTAGCTTTATTTTTAGATAGCTAGCACAATTCCTCACTTATACAATAAATCTATCTTCTCACCGTTGACATTAGCATCCCACCTTTATCTTCACTGAGTACAAGAAAAGGCTTTTATATGGAAATTCTAGAATATATTTCAATAACAACGAGTATCATCCAGCAGAGAGGGTTAAAGCTGAAAATCCAGAAACAAAATCCCTGAGATGGTGAGAGAGCACAGGAGCCAGCACATATTAATAATAAATAAGAAAAGCTGACATTTATTGAGGCATTATTATATGCCAGTCAGTGTTTTCAGCACTTTGCACAGATTAAGTAATTTAATCATCTGAGTAAGGGCACTTTCCCTCTTACAACATCACTTGTTAGGAAACACTGGAGCATAATGCTGTGTTTCACCATAACTGGTTCTAAACAGCTGAAGCTGAAAATGGGTGACCTGAGTGAACCTGTGTCGCAAACCCTCACTATATCTAGCTGAAGGCTCATTCCTGCCCAGTGGAAAGCAGGGCTTATACAAACTCACTTCCCTATCCAGAGTGCAGACTTCTTATTCTTGATTATCATTTCCTGGTGCACCCTACCTACTGCTGGGGCTGATCAGACCCTTGGTTACCTGTGAGGGGGGAATGATGGGGAATAAAGAGAAACAGAGACAATATTCAAGGTGCAAGGGGACCGGGAGAAGCCTGCATCTAATGGACAGACTCAAGAAACTCCAAGGTTGACACACTTTTACTAGCCAGCAAAAATCATAGGGGGAAGGAGTTGTGTGTCATTTGTAGAACAATAACAGTTGAAAAGATATTTGGAAAAATAAGGAACAGGTTAAACTTTTACAAGGAGACTGTGTGAAAAGGGGCCAGGTTCTTCCCTATACCCAGATCCTGCCAGAGTTAATAAGGAACTAGCACTCTTTTTTTTTTTTTTTTGGTACTGGGGTCAAACTCGGGACTTTGCACTTGAGAGGCAGGCAGAACCACTGAGCTAGATCCCTGGCCCTGGAACTAGCATTCTTTACATTTCCTTCAGCAGATATTATCCTGCCATGAGAATACTGTGATTAGAAGCATTCCCACACACAACCAGAAAATACGTCGCTTTCCATGAGCTTTTCTGTTTCCCAAGGTAGGTCACATCAGCTTTGGGACCATGGGACACAATCTGGCCCTCAGTAATTCCTCACATAGCCTGGTCCCCAACAATCTGCTTCTTTATTTATTTGCATAACTCCCCTATTCTTCCTCCATACACCTTTTCACTGTGCATATTTTCCTGTCTAGTAGGTAAATAAACACAGAGCTTGCTTTGCTGATCACTGTAATGGGCACTGGCTTTCTTTAATCAGCTTTCAACAAACCTGTGACATAGGTTGTAGGATTATTCCCATTTTCCTTTTTTTTTCAGGTTTTATATTTTCTTTATTAATATATACTTGCACTATATTAAAATAAAAGAGAAATAAATTTAAAAAGCAAAAAAAAGTTTTGGGCCTGCTTGGTCAACTCAGCTAGATCCTGTGTCAAAAGTATATATACATTCACATATACAATGATACACAAGTAAATAGATCAATATGTGATAGAAATATATTGAATGTTATGATTGCACATGTAGCTGAGTAGAACACCTTTGGTTTGGTCCTCAGGAGAGGGGGAAAAAATCCACACACACCTCATGCACTCTTTCTTAAACAATACTTGGGAAAATATGTTAAGTTTGTTTTTAAGAGTGAAATATCTAAGGTCCAGAGAAGAACTTTAACAATAAGCCACTGACAAGGATAATGTATGTCTTTTATACCACATCTGAAGGAAATGTAAAAGTCATACATTGTCCCATTTTACTTTTGAGGAAACTGAGGCCAAGTAGGCTAACAGACTTGATCAAGATTGGGTTACAAAATAGTAGGACTGGGCTTTGAACTTTGGTAGTCTAAGTCTATGAGGATATAATTCTATGTCGAAATGGTATGAAGGGAAATGGTGAATGTTAGTTTAAATGTATCTAACACAAAATTCGTGTGTTAGAAGCTTCTCTCCAGTCTCACAGTGTTGAAAAGTAGACCCTTTTGGGAGGTGCTTAGGTTATGAGGGCTGGGTCCTTAGAAGTGGATTAATGCCATTATAGAGGGCTTGACAGAGGGAGTTTGGTCCTCCTGCCTTTGTATCTTCTGCCATGCAGGACACAGCATTCTTCCCCCAAGGGGGCACAGCATGGAAAGCACTGTCTTGGAAGCAAAAATCCAGCCCTCACCAGACCTTGATCTTAGACTTCATAGCCTCTAAACCATGAGAAACACTTTTCTACATTTTCTGTTACCCTGTCTGCAGTGTTCTCTTATAATAGTTCACTATGGAAGGCAGTGAACAAACATATAGGCAGGTAGGTAAACATTTCATGGTGAGAAGATAGGTCTTCTATTTTCCTGTTGAGGTACAGGATTATGATAAATACAAAGAAACATTCTCATTTCGTCTGGGTTGCTACAGCAAAAATATCAGAGACTGATAGCTTAAACAACCATTTATTTCTCTCAGTTCAGGAGGCTGGAAGTCCAAGAGCAAGGTGGCAGCAGATTTGGTGTCTGATGAGCCTTGCTTTCTGGTTCATAGACAACCGTCTTCCCACTGTCTCCTCACATGGCCCAAGGGGTGAGGGAGTTCTCTGGGATCTCTTTTATAAGGGCACGAATCCCCCTCTACAGGCCTCATTATTTTCCATGGGCCTTACCCCTCCATATCATCACCTTGGGGGTTAGGACCTCAACACATGAATTGTGATGGTGCCGAGGGCCACAGACAGTCTATAGCAGAAACCAGTCTGCTCAATTGAATGGCTTCCTCTAGCAGTGATTAGCTGTCTCCATGTGGGTAAAGAAAATGTTCACCCACCCTGAGGCAAGCCCATGGCTCTCTAAAGAAAGACTACATCTAGAGAAACAGACAGTTGATCAGGGAAAGAGTGACTAATGGAGAAACAAAGAAGAGGGCAACTGGACATTGAGGGCCAAAGACATACTGTGCAATGTTCTTTGGACATGGCCTTGGGTTTAGGATGGATGTGAAACTGAAGCTGCTTGGGGTGGGGAGCAGGAAGAGGTTTGTGATTCTGTTTGTCTATACTTAGCTCCAGTTGTCTGGAATTACTAAGTTACTGTCACTGTTTGTTCCCAGGGCTTAGTACCTCAAATGCCAGTGGTATTTAGTGGATTCAAGCCATGATCTTTAAGCAGAAATGGCTCTGCTTAAGATCATTTCATCACCATTTACACCTTGGCTAGAGTTCTGGTTGCTGCTCCCAGTGAAGTCCCAATGCTGCTCCTGCTCCTGGGTGTGAAAGCAACTGATGGAAAACAATCTCAGGAAAGATGTAAGAATATGGATGAACTGGATAGAAAATATTAAAAATGGATGATGGGGCTGAGTGTTTGGGTCAGTGATAGAGAACTTGTCTAGCTTGTATAGGATCCTGGGTTCAATTCCCAGAATTGAAAAAAATAAGCACAACAAACAAAGACAACAACATTTACATGTGAGTCTAGGTTTTTTTCATAAATATTTAAGTCTTATTACAGAGTAGGCCCTGGGTTAGAAGATTGCAGTTCTTTCTAAGATAGTTACATAAAAGCAGGGAGCATGATTCTATCTTTTAGTTTATCTTTGAAATTGCTGGTTATTTGTCTTTATATGAATGGTTTGTCTAATGATTGCTGAATGGATTAAGAAAGGAAGGATGGCATATCACAGTGTCCTTGCTTGTGCTAACCTTCTTACCTAGAATGCTTTCCTTTTGTAATATGACTACATTCCTATTTGAAGGCCCCTCTGCCTTTGTGAAGCTTTTTCTGCCTAACTCCTGCCTACAGTTAACTTTCCTCTCTTTAATGTCTATAGTCTAGAAGTTTCGATCTACACAAATAGCACATGCCATCTAATATTTCGCATCAATGTCTTTCTCCGAATACCTTCTAAGCAGCATTCCTACCCTACTATGTGAAGCTAGGCACCATGCTGTTATACTCCTGCCATGCTCACCTGGTGCACTCTCCTGCCTGCTCCATCTGTCCCTTGCCTCAGGAGAGTGAGCCATGTGGGCATCCTTACCCTCTGATCTTTGAGTGTGTTCTAGCAAGAGGTCAGTGAATAGGAGGAAAGAGAAGGTGGGCTCTTTCTTCTCCTGAGGGGTCCCTACAGATCCACACCACCCTTTATCAAGGGCCTTGACTCTTATTGTGTGCCCTCTCCCTACAGTTGATCTACTCCAGTTCTAGAAACTACTTTCGTCTCAGCTCCCTTTCACCTGGGAGGAGCAATAGCTTTTTACCCCTGCCAACCTGGAATTCTGCCCTATCCCCTGGCAGGGATCTTTCCCAGGCACAGAAAACAATAGCACACAAGGCTCATCATGTGCTCACTTGCTGGCTGCCTGGGACACTGGGCTTTCTGCTTAGCAAAGGCTCTTGGATATCTTGGGAGAGAGAAATCGGGAACACGTTTTGACAAACAGCACCAAGTCTAAGACTCCTGAGAAAATGAGAAGGGGATAGACAGCTTGTCCCTAACCTCCCAGCCCAGATCCATAGACTTTCAGCACTTCCTTAGCTTTGCGAAGTTCTTTTGCTCTGGTACACTAACCTGCTTTCTCGTTCACTAAGCATGTCATGGAATTGACGGATACTCTTCCTTCTGCTTGGAACATGACTTTCTGTTATTTGCCTAAAACTTCATTCAAATGGCAGCGTGAATGTGACTTGCTTCAGGAGCCCTCCCAAGAGCAGACCCTTCACCCCGGCCAGGACAGATCAGTGTCCTCATATATGGGCTTGATTTGGTGGGTATCTGACCCATGTCACCCCTCTTCCCAGAAGGCCTCTGCTTCTGGACGTTAAATTTCCACAACCTGGTATGTGACTGACTCCAAGAGGTTTGGAAGGTGCTGCTTGTCTATCCATGCACAAATGACCCGAGCTTACTGTAAAATGGTGAAGATGGGAGGCTGGGAAGAAAAGTAGAAGAAGAGCACTGTCTACCAGCTCCAGGTGCAAATAAGCAAAATAAGGACAAATCTTTGCTTGTGGGCTTACAAAAGTGTACATAAGTGATGCTTATGGAAAAAGTTTTCTTTTTCTGAAGAGGGCAGCAGAATATTATTGGAAGGGACTGGACTGTGTCAGGAAAGACAAGAGGAAGGATGTATCACAGAGCTCACAGGAAGGTTGAGTCTCATCACAGGGTAAGGACTGGGGAAGACCAGGAAGAGATGCATGGAATTTTCTTGGTGTTGTCACTACTGGGCAAAAGGCAGAGGTTGGGGCACAAGGCTGGAGGGAACTGGTGATACAGGGCAGGCATGAAGTGCCCCGGGTATCAGAGAACTTAGGTACTGCAAGAAGATGTGGGAGAAGCTCCAGAAGCAGTCAGAGAAGGCAGAGGGGCACCAGCCATTTCATTGCCAGGCTTGGAATAATGGCAATTGTCATGCTCCTTTGAGTATGTAATGTCACCAGGCATGGGAAGTACTGTGTGTGTTTGAGCATGATGTCTTTGAACTCAGTTATTGATTTTAATAATCATTCTTTAGCTCAGTGGCACTGTGTCTGGCTCACAAGTGCAAGATCCTGAGTTCAATCCCTGGTACTGAAGGAAAAAAAAAAAAGAGTAAAAAGGAGCTGGCCTCGATAATGTATCTTCTTGAGCAGTGATGACTGATCTATTCCCTAAGTCCCTGGGATCTGGAATGTGGCAGCAGCTTTAATTTCAGTGTGTCTTTATGTGGTTCTGCATCTTTCCATTTGGACTGCATGCTTGAAGTTGCTTATTCAAATAAGCAAATGTCCCTTAAATGGAAAAACATCTCTGCATGCAAATGATCAAGTAGCATTTCTAACTTTAGCTACAGAATTTATTATTGCATTCTTTGGGGAACTGATTAAAGTAACCCCAGACACCATCCTTTTATGACCAAATAGTATGGACAGTTATAAATAGTGCAGTGAGCTGTGCCTGCAAGGCTGCAAGCCAAAAATCTTTGAGTCAATAAAGGCACTGTTGTTCTCTGTGAGGAGGCAATTATGACATGGCATTTCTGAAACAGGAAGCTGAGTAAGGCAGTTTTCAATTGAAAGTCTAATAAAAAAATGTGTTTGATAAAATCTCCCCTCAAAATGATTCGTGTGCTTTATACATACTGTATATATCTATTTACATATGTGAGAATCCATTTCCATGTAGACATAGCATCACTAAGATATTTATTCATTAATATTCACTGACTAGAATAAATTATATAATGCTGAAAACTTGGCAACATTTCAGAGTAAAAGATGTTTGCACCCTATGCAAACCTATTCTGTTTATAAATATGATGCATATTTGTTGGAGAAAGCACAACAATAAATGCATAATGAAGAAAATATCCAAAGTCTTACTATCTAGAAACAACCAAGATGCTAACTCTTCTAAATATATGATTTCCAGGCTAGTTAATAAGGTATACACCATAATTTTAATTACTATGGTTGCCACCATCAGTTCTTGAAACCAGTTTTAAAAACCAACCCGTCTATGCCCAGATTTCTCACAAACAGAATGTAAAATAACAACTTCTTATGCTTAATTGGGAGGATCAATCCTAGGCAGCAGGACGAAGGGCAGCGGTGGGAAGCAGTGGAGGATGGGAAGCATCGCACACGGAGACCCTTGGAGACAACCCATTCCCCCAGCGGACTCACAGTGGCCCAGGTGGCCACGCCTAGAGAGACCAGGTGAGGAAGTCAGACCTCAGCACAGGCTTTTTGAGGGAGGAAGGGGAAAGAATTCCTCTGTGGTCTCCTTTTCCTCTACTGCTCACATTTTGCCTCACAGGAAGTTTACTCACATTGCTCAGAATCTTTGGCAAGGAGAAAATTCACTGGAGTGGGTCAGAAGCCCAAATCTCCGTTTCATTGCTTATCAGCTCCCTGAGGAAATCTGAATTTAGTTTTCTCATCTATAAAATATGACCGATCCTATCCACCTCACAGTTGCCTTAAGCATTGCATTAGAGAACATGTGTTCAGATGTATGCAAGCGTGCATAGCTACCATGACTGGAGCTCAGGGATTTATTTGTTGCAGACAGTGTCTACACACTTGCTCTGTGTCTTTCACAAAATGTGGGCAATAGAAAGACTGCTTTTAAATATTTTTATCAGAGTTTATTTTTATTCTAGTTTGAAAGTAAGATCTATTTTTACCTTAATTTTAAAGAAGGATATATTTTTACTGGAGCTTAGTGCATGTGATAGGGTCACTACCAGATTAGTAGGGGCTGGACTGAACATTTGGGTTCAAGAGAAAAGCTTGATTTGGGACGAGCAGGTGTTTGAAGAGAGATCAGAAGGGATGGTACCAGCCTCTACTTCACAGGAAGAGGCCATCTGGGCCATCTGCAAAGGCAGAGGCACACTGCACAGGGGAGGGTGGCTTAGGGTGTGTGTCATCTCCAGCAAGTGGCTGTGCCCACACTCTCCCAATTCTACCTAGAGCTTGTAGAGAGGGACTCCAAGCTCCACAGTGCCAGAGTGTCAGAGACTCAGAGGTCTTCTCCCAGGACTCAGTTCTGGGATCCATAGGGCTGAAGTCCAGCCTGAGGCTAAGGAGGAAAATGTGCTATAGCCCAACATTCTCTGAGACATTCATGGAAACATAGGTCCTGAGGGGTTGAAGTCAATGAAAGGCAGCCTTTGAGGAGAATGCCTTCAGGTCCAGATTGAGAACCTGAGTCTCCAGTCAGGCCCAGCCCTTGGCTTCACAGGAGGAAGTTCATCTCTATCTCTGGTTCGATTTAATCTCAATTTCTATCCCTCTTCATAAGTCACCTATAGACTACTCCACAGAGGGCCAGAAATTAGAGTGTCAAGGCAGTGGGGTGCAGAGTTTCGATGACCACCATGAGAAAGGGTTCATTTGGCATTTCCAGCTGCAGATGCCAGCAGAAGACACTGACAGACACATGTGGCTTGGATGGGGCTGTCATCCCAAGAACGCCAGCCCATCCATTCCTCAGAGCATGCCACACCCCCACAACCCCTGCACTCCATCCGCTGTGCGCACTCCCCCACCTCCTCCCACTCACCAGCCCCATGCTGGAGAGGTAGGAGTGAAGGCAGAGATGGTGGGCAGGGGGTGTGCCTGAGTGTGCCTGTGTGCGCAGCAGAGGAGACTCAACCACTGTCCCAACAGTGAGCACTCCCTAAAGCGCCATTTAAACTGTTAAATCAGACTGAGCGTAAATTGATTTGACATTTAGCAAGCTTTCCCTTCTTTTTTATAGGTAAGACTCATGAAGATCATGGACAATGGACAAAATACATTGTCTCTACACATCAAATATTGTTTTTTATTTTCATAAAATAGAAAACAAATCTTTGTAACCGAATAATCAGAGAATAACAATAGTTAATGCACTTATATTTTTATCTTCAAAGTAGTTACTCAGAGTACAAGACATAAACCAAAAAGATTTTTACAAAACAGAAACAGGTAATGACACAAACTTTCTTTTCAATGAACTAAGATAAACTGTTAGTATAAATGAAACAAATCAGTATGCATTGAAATATTTTTAAACAACAGAATATATAATTTGGGGAAGTATTTGAACTTCTCCCTATTTCCAATTTATCTTTCTGCTATTTTGCTCTTTATTTGTATATACATATATATGTATACATAAATAATAGATATACATATATACACATACATATATATGTATATACGTGCACATATATAGTGTTTGTCATGTAAGAGAAATCATGTGATATTTGAACTTGTGTGTCTGACTTATTTCACTTAACATTATGTTCTCAAGTTGCATCCATTTACCTATGAATGCCTCATTTATCTTTACGGGCAAAGATCGTGATCCATTTCTATCAGCAATAGATTAGGAAGAAAAACTTTCAAAAAATATAATAAAGAACCAATATCCTTAATATGAAAAAAAATAGAAAAAACAGCAAAGGATTGGAATAGGCAACTCATAAAACATAGTAAAATGGCCAATAACTATATGAAAATATGTTTATTGTCTCTTAAGGAACATGACTCTTAATGTCGTTTAAGTAGAATAATCATGAAATCTTTTGTTTAGAATATTGGCAAACAACAACACAAAGGCTGATAATCCTCTGGCACGTTTTCCTAACATAACTGTTTGCTGAGGCTGTTAATACGCTTGTTGACTAGATGTCTGGAACCTGATTAGTTCATTGAATTCTCTTTTGTAACAGCATCAGCGAAATCTAACAGAAAGACCTCTGGGGAAGAGAACTCAGGAGGCTCAGAATCTGGTGACTGCTCTGAAACAGATTTCCTCGGTGACCTTGGGTGTAGACTTTCAGTGCCTTGTTCTGCGTCTGGAACTTAAGGAGGATGTGACCTACTTTTTCCCTGTCTCATTGAAATGTGATCAAGATTAATGGCCTAACGTAGAAAATATTTCCAGTGACATGAAAGACCAGACTCATTATTCAATGCCTGAATTAATAAATCTGGTAAAAATCAGTCTAATTCACTTAATTCAGGAAAAATACTTGCTTAAAACCATGTAATTTTAGAACTGGGTGTGTATAAAAATGATCTCATCAGAATTTTTCAAAATGTCCCTCAGATTGATGGTGAAGTCAGATTGAGAGAACTGGGCTGCATCTTAGAGGACACAGACTGAGAACCATGCACAGTATTAACGAGGTCACATAGCTCTGCATCCGTCTTGCAGGGGTTCACGGACTGCAGCTCTCCGGGGCCACACTATCAGGTCAAGCTGGGCTTACAACAGTACAGAAATGTTTTCCTGCTCAAACTTTCAAGCTTTTGCAATGCAACACACATTGTTTTTCTAATATAAACTAAAAGTAAAATGTTCGGGGTTCTTGCTTTTTTCAGCATTTAAGATTTTTTATGTCCTTGAGGGTTTTTTCTGCTTAAAAGTTAACCTACACACAAAGTTTTGGTTTAAACTGTGTTTGGTAAATGAAACTAAGTTGAGTATATTCCTTCAAATGTAGTTATGTTGTAACAGACGTGTGGAGAGCCTTGGAGCTTCCTGGATCCTGTCCCGGAGGCTGGGCCCTGGCCTGTCCTCCCTGTAGCAATGCTAAGTATGCAAATGTCTCTCATGCCATAGGTGACAATCTGGCAAGTGTCACTCCGTTTAGCTAATTCATCCTCATGATTCTGTTTCAACTACAAATGAGACAACCGAGGGTTGGAGAGATTCAGCAATTCACCTAAAGCTTCAGACTCTGCGTGTCCACAAGCTGATTATGCCTGTGCTACTCGTCACTTCCTTCTTAGAATAGCTAGGCTTCTCTCTATTTTAAATATTGAATTTTGCTTTTGTTGTATCCCATCTCACCTTTAGGTCATTTCTAAAACATGATTAGAACCTTGTCACTTCTCTGCTTGAAACTTGAATGGGTCCTCAGAGCCTGGAAGAATGCTTTTCAAACTGTGGTTGTCAGATGAGGGCTCATTGGTGTCAGGCCCCACCCCAGGCCCACTGAACCTGAGGCAGAGGGCAGGCTGTGCAGTCTGGGTGATTCTGACATGCACCGGCATGCTTGGCTGCTAAGGAGTCCTGCCTCCAGCTTACTTTCTAGCCTCATCTTGCGGCTAGCTGTTTCACTCATCAAGCTGCATGAACATCCCCTTCATATACACAGCTGCTTGCTGTCCAAGGACAGTGTCACCTGGACATAAAGCACAAGGATTCCGGAGTCTTAAATATCACCTGTGTCATTTACTAGCACTTGTGACCTCCGTCAGATGACCTATACAAGATGAGGATGCCAGAAATATCTGCTCACTTGTGGTCATTCAGATTAAATGAATTAATGTATGTGGGGACCTTAAAATAGTGCCTAGCATGCAATAGGCCTTATAGGAATATATCATTGTCTTTGTTTCTTGTATTTATTTCCTGTGACTATCATAACAAATAGCCACAAACCGAGTGGCTTATTAACAACAGGAATTTCTCTTTCACTGTCCAACGTCAGTTTCTCTGGGCTGACCTGAAGATGTGGCATGGCTACTCCCTCTCTAATTATTGGTGCACCAGCCTTCCTTGGAGTGGGATCCCATTGAGCCAATCTCTGGCTCCATTTTCACCTCACCTCTCCCTCTGTGTGTGTACTATGATTTATTTTTATTTTTTAAATTTTATTTTATTAGTATATATTTGTGATACACAATAAACATATTCATCCTGGGGAATTTGTGCACATACATATCACATCTTGATCCTTACTTCCCCTTCCTCTCAACTGCCTCCCATGTGCTGCTTATTCTAAATATGGTTTGCCCTTTCCCTGAACTCATGCAGTAGTTTAATTCCCAAAGTCAGATGTTAATGGTTTTAACAGGATGAAAAATTAATCCACTTATGGTGTTTATAGGCAGGGTCTTTGGGAAGTTTCCTATTCTAATATCTTGCAGTAGTGTGGTACATTTAATATAACCAGTAAATCAATATTGATTCATTATAATTAAAAAGAGCCCATATTTTACATTAAGGACCGCTCTTTCTAATGTGAGGATTTTTGACAAATACAGAATGTCCTGTATCAACTGTTACCCTGTCATACAGTATCACTGTCCCAAAAATATCCAGTGCTCCACTTGTTTACCATCCTATACTTCAGGACTCTTTGCAACTACTGATCTTAATTCTCCATGTTTTTGCTTTTTCCAGAATGTCTTCCGGTTGGAAACATACAGTGTGTACCCTTTCAGCTTGACTTCTACTTAGTAATGTGCTTTTAAGTTTCTTTCAGATCTTCATATGGCTTGGTAGCTCATTTCTTTTTAGCACTAATATTGCATTGGCTGGATGTGCCACAGTCTACCCATTTAGGTTGTTTCTAAGTTTGGACAATAAATGAAAAAGCTGGTATAACCATCTACGTGCAAATTTCTGGTTGGATGTAAGTTTTCACTTCCTTTGGGTAAATCCCAAGAAGTACAATTGCCGAATCATATAGCGAGCCTTTGTTAAGGAACTGCCAAAATGTCTTCCAAAGTTCTTCACCTATTTGTATTCCCACCAGTGGTGAATGGGAATTCTTGTTACTCCACATTCTGATACCATTTGATGTTCTCAGTGTTCAGATTTTTGCCACTCTAAAAGGTGGGCAGTGCATCTCATTGCCATTTCAGTTAGCAATTCTCTAACGGTGAGTGTCTTTGCCATAGTACATCTTCCTGGAGTAGGAGTCTGCTCAGATCTATTGCCCACTCTTTCACTGGGTTGTTTTCTTATTGTTGAGTTTTTATGGTTGGCATACATTGTGGGATACCCCTCCTTCACCCAATATGTGTTTTGCAAATATTTTCTCTATTACACACCATATTTTTCTGTTCTCTTGGCAGTATCTTTTGCAGAGAAGTTTTTCATTTTAATATAGTCCAGTTTACCAATTTTTTCTTTCACTTTTGATGCTGTGCCTAAAAAATCATGGTAAAATCAAAGTTCACCTAGGTTTGTCTAAACTTATTAAATAACTATATAAATATTTATTTTGATGAAATAGATTGATCTACATTTACCAACCATACTATCTATTAGAAGCTTTTCAGTTTCATATTTTACATTTTGGTCTATAATCTGTTTTGGTTTATGTCACTACCTTTTTATTGCTTCTGTTTCCTGCTGTATCATATCAGAGTTTTCCTGGCAATTACAGATCATATCTTACCTGACTTAAGTGGGCCTCAGAAAACTGAAGGAGTAGTCTTCATTTTGCTCAGCACCCCGGCCATGTTCAAGGCATCCAGGCTTCTTGTAGTTTACCAGCCCCTAGAGAGGACAGTGCTCCTCCATGCCTCTGCTTGGGCATGCATAAGCAGCTGCTCCTCATCCTCTGCCAGCTTCTACGTGGGTACACCAAGGTCTCTGAGTGTCACAGCGCTGTCCTGTTCAAAGACTAAAAATGGATGAACATTTTATTTTCATTGGAATGAGGTTTGTGTTCTATAAAAGAAGCCCTAGGGGACAGGGTCCCTGTGGAGGTGGAGAGTCCAAGTTTAAGGGACATGTGACTATTCTCGTATCAACTCAAATGACTCACAGTTTCTGAGTAAAATGTACTTTTTCCCCCTATTTATATGCTTAGAAATAAAAGCAAACTCCTAATCAAGGGAAGAATTTTTTTCTACATCTCAAACAGAGAAATGCCTGGATTAACTCTAACTTCTTTTTTCATAAAGAAATATAAGCAAAAACCAAAATGTTCAGATTTTATTAATAATGTGATTTAACAGTATAGCTTTTCAGGGACAACCCAGTTAATTTAAAGTAACTTATACCTTTCAATTTTTTTCATATAAATAAATTCATAAATGAGGAAAATTCTTTGCTAGTCTGTCTTGGAATGTGTCCCGAGATAGTCTCCTTTCGGAGCCTGAGGCCCACCAAGAAAATATCACTTTGGCATAGACTTTTCTACAAAGATTTGAGCCCAGGTCTTCAGTGCTACTTGGCCATTACAACCTAATTATGAACAGCAGTTTTGAGCTGGACGTGGAGGCACACCCCTGTAATCCCAGCACTCTGGGAGACTGAGGCAGGAAGATCACAAGTTTGAGCCCAACCTAGGCAATTTAGCATTAAAGAAATGGATGGGAGTATAGCTCAGTGTGGAGGTCCTGGATTCAATCCCTAGTACCATACACGCACAAACAGCCAATTTTTGTTTAATAAGAATGTGATATTTGTAATGAAAGAGTATAGTTGTTTTTTAGTTGTGCGTGTAAAGATTCTGGTTATTTGTGGTTGGTGGAAAAACCAACCTTCTAATAAAAGTGGAAACTGATCTATCAGGCCCTGAATAGAGAAAGCCCAGTGGCCATTTTCCCGAAGGGCAGCACCTTGGGACCCCCAGAATGTGAAGTGGGTTAGCCCTGACCGCTTCCCATCATATCTAAGGATAAAAACAGCTCTTGAGCCTTCAGGGTGCTGGGGACTCGGACACTGGTTCTCTTCTTGATAAATAACATATCTCATAGTTTCTTAATTGAGCTTTGTTTTTTGTTCTATTATTTTTAAAATTTTATTAATACCTGTTTGCAGTACATGCACTTTCCTATCATCTTGCGGAGTTTGTATATGTAAATAATACAGCTTCTTTCTTTTTTTAAAATCCCCTTCCTTTCCCTTCCTCTTCCTCCTCTAGCTCCCCTTCCCCCCTTTTCATTCTTGTGGATATTATTAATTTTAGTTCATGTTTATGATATATAACGTCCACATTCATTGAGGTTATTGGGACCTTGTACCTTACATACCTTCACTCTATCTGTCCCCCCGCCCCGTCCCCGAGACCCCTTCTCATTGGCAATAGATCCATTCTCTTGTTTCCTTCTCTCCTTTTATTTTTCTCTTAGTTTGTACTTTGCCTTAGATGAAAAATACCCTATGCTATTCAAGTTTGTGTGTCTGGTTTATTTCATCCAACAT